AAGGAAGAAAGAAAAAAGAAAACTAAAAAGACAAAAGGCACCAAAACAACCAATCACATTCCAGGGAATGGTGTATGCCTAGTAATAGTTGGCCAGTATAAAATGGTCTTCCATCCTTTTCTAGTGCATATTGCATCTGTTGAGCTCTTTCTAAAACAGTCCCATAAAATAGAAAAAAAGATTTACTATGACGCTGACTGGACTTCAGTGGAAGATTATATGTTTAGCTTTCTATGTACCTGTTTATGTGATGCTGAAATTCTATTTTCTTCCTAATTTTCTAATCATTTTATTCAGATTTTAATTCTCTAAATCTCACCACTTAAAATTCATAAGGATTCTCTCCTCTGACCCCACATTCACCCAACTAATTTATCTGCTCTGTAAATTCTAGATCCATATATTCCATTACTTGGTATCCAATGATTCCCATGTTTATTAACAGGCCCTGGTATTTGTTTATATTCTACACACTATTCCCACTCATCTACTGGATGGAAACCTGATATTACAAGTAACTTCAAAATCTAAATCTACATAACCAAAACTACACTAATTTTCTTAACTTTTCTACTGTTCATTTTCCTTTTTTTGTTCAACATGACATTATTCACCTAAAGAAATAAAGAAAAGTCACCTTAAATATTATCTTAGGTTTTTATTTTTCTGTAGTTTTGATGAATATCTACCCAAACTCCTGGGTCTTTCCCCTACCTTTTTTTTTTCCATTGCCTACATCTTCTTTATTAATAACATCACTTTATTCCATTGGACTACTTAAGTGTCTCTCTAACCTTGGCTCAATGCCCCTGGGTTTTTCCTATATTTCAGCTTCTACAAGGTTGCCAGATTTTTCTATAATATAAATAGGATCATATTAATCATAAAAAGAATAAATTTAAAAAGTAAACATTTTAGTAAATCTATCACACAGCATAATGTCTTTAACTAACAATGCTGTGTGATATAAATAAATTATATCAAAAAATGGATTTTATAATAAGTGCCCCCAATGCACATAATAATGGAAAGGAATAAGAGAAAACTGGAAAGTAATGACCATGACATTTTCATTTATATACTCTCTGGATTATATACATTAACTATGTATAGATTTATATGTGTCAATAATACTGAACAAAGAAGTTAGCAAAATAAAACATATAGGATATATTAAATAACAAACCTTTTGCTTAGGGATTTACCAGTGTCATGACATCAGAACACTGAACAGGATTGCTTACTCTGTAGCTGAAGTTTCATTCTATTAAGATGAACTTCAATCCCCTTCTCATTAAGGCCTTGAACCCTATCTCTATCTGTAAATCTACTGCCCACCACTGAAACAGTTATCACCAGACATGCCATTTTCCTGGGTTATGATTTTGCCCATTCTTTTGCTTATAACATCCCTACTCATTTTAAGACATATCTAAAATATCAAATCACTATCTTATTCATTGGCTTTGACTAAGAGAAGAACCTTTTGGTTTCTATATCTTAATGGATGTGTCTCTGCAATAAAGTCTTCCTCCCATATTGCCATTATCCTTTAGTTAGTCTGCTTCCATCCACTAACCAAACAACCAGGATGCAGGAGCTCTATTCTGTATGTTTTGCTTGTCCAGTTTCTGGTGCAGTACTGAAAATAAGTTCTCAACAATACTCTGATAATTGAATGACAGTACCACCAACACAAAGACACAAAGATAATCTAGTTCTTGTGCAAGAAAATGTTGTCAAATTCTCCTGCATTGTTTTAAAAACTTGAATTTTGAGGGGGCCTGGGGATGTGTGCCTTAAATCTCAGTCTTAAAGTAGCTGAAGGAAGTCTCAGTTACACAATAGAACAAGTTACAAAGGAGACGAGGTGGTGGTATCGAATACACTACTTAAATGGATGGCTTTCTATGTCATCTAAAATGCACAGAATAAATACGTTTCGTCATTTCAAAACAAAACCAAAGTAAATATAGACAGCCGAAAATCATGATATTCTCTACATTAAATTGAAAATTTAAATTGAAAATTCCCTTCCTTGTTTTTAATTAAGAAAATCAAATGTCCCTATGGAAGTAAAGAAAGTCTAGCTCAATATTATCCAAATGTGTGCTGTAGCTGAAGTTTCATTGTATTAAGATGAACTTCAATCCCCTTCTCATTAAGGCCTTGAACCCTATCTCTATCTGTAATTCTACTGCCCACCTCTAAAACAGTTATTACCAGACAGCTGTTTAAGCCATGACCTGAAGCACAGCCCCTAGTAAGGTAGCAGGTAGCTTTTACATCTGCCTATGACCTTGAGGTACCTGCCCATGGAGCTTGGCCACTGGGAGGCCCTTTAGATCTGGGATGCATGCATACTCTCTCTCTTTGGTACCTCATGGTTTTGGATGCTGGTATGTACCAGGGCAAAGATCACCAGAGAACCATATTAGACCGTGCCTCACCCTTCCAGGATTCTGTGATCAATCCCTTTATTTTGTCATGGAAAGCCTTTAGATATAATATTCTTCAACTCTGAATTAAAATCTCAAAAACATCTTCATCTGTTAGCAGAGAGATGAATGCTAAAAAGTAGTAGTGTGATTAAACAGAAAAATAAAAATAAAATAACAAAATGTGGTTCCAAGATATTTGGGTAATTTAAAATAGTGTGGTATTGATTATAGTTTACAGTTCAGAACCTCTGTTTTCTCATTTATAAAATAGAACCAACATGCCCTGCACTACACATCACAAGGCCTGGATATGATGAGCATCAAGAGAAAGAAACTGTGGGAAGCACACTGCGAAACAAAACGTGCTGTATTGGAGGCATTCACTCACCAAACACAGTTCTTGCAGGCACAGATTCTCTGTTAAGCCAGAACGACACTTGGGAGAGAATGACAGTCATGATGCAAGGCAGATAGGTCTGAATCACAAAATACCCAATTTTTCTTTTCAAGTGGAAATGAGCTGTCATTACAGTATATTCACCTGGAAGGAGAATTTAAGAAGCTTAAGGAACTAGAATTGTCAATAGTCAGAACAATTTGGAAATGGAAAGGATTAGAGGAAGAGTAGTTCCTGCTTAAAAAAAAAATAGAGGGAAAGAAACGATCACATACATTACATGAAAATTGGAAATGTCTCATTAAAACAAGAGTATTTTTAAAAGAATTACACAGCATCAACAACCCCACACTGCTAATGCCCCCATAACATGGTGTTCATTTTTCTCTTTAGCTCATGCCCACTCCCCAGCAGGATTCTAAAGACTGTGCTAGTGGATTATCTTCTTGGCTTGGGTCCCTCATGTCCACTGGTACAACCTCCATGCTGCTGCAGGAATTGATTTCATTCTAGCCTTCCTGGATCATATCCCTGACACTGCTCTTTTGGTCCAGATTTTTCACTTTAAACTCTGTCACCAATTCTGACTTTCTCTCTATATATGCCAGCTGTAATTTGCTTCCGTAGGTTTTGTCTAATTCTCACACCTACCTTCTTTTTTTTTCTCCCATGGTTTTGATTATTGCCAGATGTAAGATAATTAGTCTGCACAGCTGCCTTTTTCTTTACTGCGGATGGCCTAAGAGAGGAGCTTTCCCTGCAGGCCAGTGGCAATTTCCCAGAAATCAAGGGTTGAATAATCATAATTTATCCACAATAGGAGAAAAAATGAGAAAACTAGGGAAATTGTTTTCACTACTTTAAAGATAAATGCTAAAGTTGACTGATCTGAGAAGATAAATATTTTTAAGTATGTATATAGTAAGTTTGTTTTAAAACATGGTTTCTGAAACTTGCATGCACATATGAGTCTCCTTGGCATCTTGTTGCAGAAGCTGATTTAGCAAAGGAGTTATCTAAGGTTAGGAATGTCTCAAAAAACTATCAAGAAATTTGTGCTGGTGTGTTAGACCATAGAGCTCAAGGGTAAAATGTTTTAAATTTTCTGACCTATTTTTAATTGTTTTAACCTACTAATTTGGGGGAACATTAGATTTATTTAGGAAATGTTACTAACCTGTGCTGGATTTAATGGTCTCCTTCCCAATTGACTGGCCCAGCAAATCATATTGATTTAACCTAGACCCATCAGGAGCAACTTGAACAGAGTCAGAAGCATTATAAGTCCAAATATAAGTGACTTCTGATGTTGTGTATGCATCTGTCAGAAATGAGAAACAAATATCGTAAACATTTGAATAAGAACACTAACAGAACGATAGATATGCCATTGTAGATTTCATAAAATCACTATTTACTCACAGACAAGCTTTGAATGATCACAGATTTAGAGGAAAATATGTACTTCGAATTTGTAACTTTAAAATTATAGGGATGAAGAAAATCAGGAGAACTAATCATGAACGTGGAAATGTTTTCATTGGTACTACTTTGAGAGGTGGTGATCAAATTCCTCTTTAGAGCCAGTAAAAATCACTGGTCCCCAAGATGATCACAATGTTCCCTCAGTACTGAAGTCGATGAGGAAGACATTGTGAGAAAAAGCAATGAAGATAGTCACACAGTTCATTTTAAAATGGTAACCCCCAGTGAAATTAAAATTGTAATCTAAAATACATTTTATGTATATTAAAATTATTTAGTTAAAAGATAATGACTTTAGTTATCATGAATGAAAGCATTTCATTAGAGCACTAATTGTGTTTTTTTTTTTTTTTTTCGAGACAGGGTTTCTCTATGTAGCTTTGCGCCTTTCCTGGAACTCACTTGGTAGCCCAGGCTGGCCTCGAACTCACAGAGTTCCGCCTGGCTCTGCCTCCCGAGTGCTGGGATTAAAGGCGTGCGCCACCACTGCCCGGCAAGCACTAATTGTTGACATAAAAAATGAAGCAGAAGATTGTATACTTCCATCATATTATAGATTCATTTTTCAAACATATTCATTTATAAGTTAATTAATAAATACCAACATTGTAGAGTAAGTTGTATAGCATTCCAGCTAAGTTGAGGATTAACAGAAAGGGGAAATGTATTTGACTAATGATGAAGAGCTTATCAGAAATGAGCTTCCTCTGGAGTTGAGGCATTAGCAATTCCCTTTGCAGATCTTTCCTTTGTCCTTCTAAGTGTGCTGGTTATAACAGCTGAGAATCCTCACCCTTGTGCAGAGAGCCTCTTCACAACTGCAAATATGACAGGAATAATCCCTGCTCTATGGTCAACCTTTGGAGAACTTCTTTGTACGTTTGTTTATGTGGCTGTGTGGAAAACGAAGTTTAGCATGATGGTGACATTCTCAACCAGGGAGGAAACAGGACCATCTTTTTTCTAGCAATATATCTGCCTTCAGGTCCCCATGAGACTTGAAATCATATTCCTTTTGTTTCTGTAAAATTTTTTGCACATAGTTTCATGGTACCAAAGTTGTCCTACTACTGAACTTAAGGTAAAGGCTGTGACCCAATTTGATTTCCATTCAAGTATCAGGTGCAACCCAGTGGATGTTAATATATATGCTTGTCATTAGCTATATGATCTTTTAATGGCATTCAATTTTATATGGCTTTTTGAATGTTGCTACTAATATTAATATCAGTGAAATATTCCTTATATTTATATATGGATTTATGCATCCTCAAGTAAATTATGTTATGTTAAACAATACTTGAAATATTCTAAAAATAGGTATAGATGTGTGTACATACTTTCATAGAGAAATATTTATATATTTTCACATATGAAATCTAGTTTTTCTAGAGTCTAAATTGCCAATTAGCTAATTTCAAATAAATAATCACTTGTGATGCCACTGAAAACATTAAGTAATAAGTTAGCAATGTAGTTAAATAAGCACTCATTTATAGTTCATCAAGTGGCTTGTTTTGTTTCCCTCATGAGTAAACATCATGGTCCCTTCTACAAGAGCATTTCCAATGATGCACAATTTCAAATATCAAACCAACATTGCTTGGATTTTCATATTATCATTAGACATAACTAACAGAAATGAAAGTCTATAAAAGTGATGATATTCTTTTAAAGACTATGAGATACAGATGAGCAAAGCCTATCTGATTCATTTGTTAGTATTCTCAATTAGTTCCTGTTAGGTTGATGACTAAGCTGTGTAAATTACATTCAATGGGCATATCGGATAATAGTCTGTGAACACATTATAGAAAATGGTTGATCCTTTGTATGCCTATTAGAAGAATTTGCTGCATTTCATTAAGTAGTCTACAGTTTGTTTTTACATTTTTTACAGTAGTGAGAGGACAGGAAACAGAATGATATCCCATGCAGCTCAGAGGTTCACATTTATGCTCAAACCCACAGGTGAGCCAGGAGGCCATCACTATGTTGATTAGTAAAGTATAAACGGAGATTATAGGCTGGAGACACGGGTCAGTAAAGAGCAGGTATTACTCCTCCAGAAAACCAGAGTTTGGTTCTCAGCACCCACACAAATTCCTGAAACTCCATCTTCTGGTGATCTGATGCCCTCCTTTGGTTTCTGTAAGCATCTGCAGTCATGTACACTTACCCCATACAAACATACAAACACACACATATATACATAATTAAAAAATAGTAGAAAAGAAAACATGTTTTTAAAAGGAGATGGCAGTTTGTTTTACAACTTTCTTATAAATCCCACTTTGAAACTAGGATTTCACAGAGTGATTTTATTTAATTCATTCAAGCAATCTATGTTTGAATGCTAGTCTGCATTATACATAAGCATATTCACTGGCTTAAAACTCAGGAATCAATAAATATATTCCTAGATCATTTTAAACTTTGAACTTTTATCCTAAAAATGTAAGTTTTCAGTTTCTTTGGGGCTCATGTACAGAATATTACAAAACTTACATTCTGGAAGTTTCAAGTCAAATGGAATAATAAAAATATATAGGTGTAAGGTGATACAAGAAAAACAATAATGGATTTTAAACTGCACAAATACAGAAAAGATGCTTCTTTATTTGAGGAGGATGGTAAAGATCCAGAAATTCAATGATTTTAGAATAATGGTACTTCTAAAAGAGAGGAAGAAATAGCTACAAGATAATGTCACGGTTGTTTCTGCCAACTTTGTCTGTGCCAGCATGCTAAGATTGTTCTCTCCTATCACACTGCTGTCCATACTGCTAGCACAGATGCCTCAAGCACTTGCTATACACAAGGATAAATAAGAGAGTGAATAAACTTCTTGTGCTGTGTGTCAGAATATGAATGTGAAGAAAGCAAAATAAAATAAGTAATAATTACATAGAAAAAGAATAAGGAACAGAAACTTTGTGTGTTGACCATGTGCATTCTGGATAGAGCAAACTATCATAATCTCAGGCACCCCACATCCTATTACTTTGTAGCTGCTCTCTGTGAAGCTTTCAATTTGAAATAAAACCATTCCAAGCAAATTTATCTCATTTTCAGTATTGAGGCATCTTGCCACTGACATCTGATGTCACAGTAACAATACCTCATCTACTGAAAACACTTGTCCTTCCATATCATTACCGCATCTTGCATAAATTCTTTTGGGTGCCAAAGCTTTTCAAGTTTGTCTTTAATGTCACTTATGCAATGCAAATGAGTCTCTCTGCTGCATCTGTTCTGGTTTTCTCAACACTGTGTTTACGTTGTATAACATGACTGACTATCTTAAATAATATTGGAAGAAATGCCAGTTTTGAAGTGATGGTTCCCATGGCAATGAAGAAAGGCTTGTGGTTAAGCCCAGAGGAGGCTCTCAGAGAAAATTAAGAACTGACACCTGCTACAAGGATATACAAAGCAAACAAGCTTGAACCTCTCTACGAAATGGCCATCCTCAAAACAATAGAGGAATCTGCATTCTCTCACTGACCATTCTATTTTCATTGATTTGGTAGTCTGTGAGAAGATACATTTTTACTCACCCAATCAGTCATACATTTAATCAGGTTAGAAGTGGAACCTTCTATTTAACAGAAGTAAAAGCAAAGCCCAGAGCTGCTCAGAATGCACAAAAATGGGATATCAGAAAGAGCACAGTTTCTAAAAAGGTCAGGGAAGGAGGCATGTTCAGACAGAAGGAGGCTGCTCAGCTGCACTGCTGAATTAATCCTGAACCTGACTGGAGTGTCCTGTGGGCCCAGAAAGATGATCTTACTTTGCTCTTTCCATTATTCTATAGTGTGAATACTTCTGCTTGACATATAAGATAGAACCCAGTGACCTAGAGAATGGCCAGAGGCACAGAAACTTTTAGAAATATTCTATGTGCACAGAAGATGCTGAAGTGTAACCATCGAGTGTTATCATCTTCATTAAATATATTTTGAGGAGAAAAAGAATTTCTCCCAACAGGTCAATGGTAGACAGACAACTGCACGGGTTTCATCTCTTTCTCTGACCTTTGTAATAGCCAAATAGGAAACAAGGAGTAGAATCTGTCATATATAATTCACTCTAAGATGACAAAAAATAACCTATTTTACATTTTTAACATGGTATCACCAGGAGAAAATATGAATAAAGTATAATACTGACTCTACAACAGTCCTTGATTTAGTTTTATGCACAAACTAAAACACAGAGTTTATTAGTAATAAAAGAAATCATGTTTTGGACTGAAAAAAGATGTATGAAAATACTTGAGTGAGTCATAGGACATTCCAATTAGTTCCTTTAAGGCATTAACCATGTCTTTCACTTGTGTATCATATTGATCAATTATTAAGCATCCAATAATATGGAAAAAACTGCATGATCCAACAGAGACGTTGACTACTGGTGACATTAATGATTTACACATACTTTTTCCCTTATACTTACAGCTTCCAAATTTCAGTGGGCATGAGTGTGCATCCATTGGAAAATCCTCCAAGTGCATTGGACATTCAGCTTGAACTGTAAGCCTAGAAGCCAAAATTCCACTCTTGGTTTAAGTGGATTTGCTAGTCAAGACAAATCACTTGTTACTGTTTTTAATAAAATTGGAGTTTTATATTAGGTTTGTAGAGGTTTAAACACAATAAAAATAAATTATATATGTATTTGAAAATAGGTTTGCCATTAACATCACTATCAATATTTAATAGCTGAAAATGTTGATAGCTCTATTATGGAAAGAGTGTCTTTTTTCTCGTTATATCATCAACTATAGAGAAAAGTTGATGTAATACTTCAGTATACGGTTCCTTAAAGATATGCCATTTTTGAATGAGTATCTTATGCTTATATAGGTAGATATTTATTGAGATATAGGTAAATATAGATAGATGTATCTCCAAAAATACATTGTTCACAGTAATTCCTGGATAAATTATGGATACAAGTCTATGAATATTAAAAATGTATTTTCTATACCTGAGTATAATATAGAGCATAGCATATTCATAGAAAATCTGTTATGAACAACACTTCTAATTATTTCCATTTCACATAACAGCAAAGTGAATGAATAAGAACTAAGTTGAACTCAAAGACAAATCTGTTTTAACTGAGCTGAGAAAAAGGCAGTCATCAGCCAACTCTGGCATGAAAGTCACACAGTATTTAAATAGAACCCTCTGTAACCATCCTTAACATTATATAACCTCTGGACCTTAATCCTTCAGAACAAATGGTTAAAACATAACATCATTAAGGCTGCAACATCTAAGTATTGCAGTATTCAAAAATAGGAGAAAGACTAACCCAGTGCAACCATTGTAGGCAATGGTCATCTAGAAATCAGTCCTCAACAGCTTTAATTGCTGAAATCTAGTACTTAACTTGTCATATAATGTTATAAGACATTAAATGCATGGAACATGATGTTTGTGTAAATATAGTGCTAATAGCAGCATTTTTGTTCTTCAAATCCTTCATTAATCATTAACTTTAGAATCTACACCATTTTAGTAAGTTCATAATTTTTGGTTTTCTTGTCATAAGCTTATTTATTTTAAAATATTCATCAGAAATATATATATATCAAAATAATCATCATGATCAACAACTAAACTACACATATTTCTATATTTTCACGAAGGGATGAACTGCATGAAATTGTTGTTACATAATTATTTTTAATCATAAAATAGTAATTTTATACGGTTAAGCCTAATACATGATTTTATTTAACCAATTTACTTAATACATAAAAACTATGGCTTGTTTTTTATCTATAAAAAGCATTATATACATATTAATAAAAATATGTGCTTAATGATCATTTAAAATTGGATAGGCTACAAGATGGGATATGGAAAGGTAAATTAACGTGCTTCTACAGACAAATTTCTAGACATATACTAAAGTGTTTTTAATTGAAATGGAATGTGAAGAATATAAAAAATATCAATTTTAACAACCAGGAGAAATTTAAGCTTAAAAATTAAATTAATTTTAATTACTTACATGTCCAAACTTTTATAAAACAAAATATGAGAAATTCAGTAATTTTAGGAAAATGTTACACTTGTGCTACTATTTAAGGGTACCCTGACTAGCTGTTGAATACATAGTTTCACAGAGTCATTTGTAGCATATCACAGCTTACCTCATGGTGTATAGCAGTGTTCCATCATCCTGGATTCGAAGCAGCTTGTTGGGCATTGTCATATTATGAGCCACTGACTTTTTCCCATTGTGAAAGAAGGTATCTGGAGTCCAGATTTTGCTAGCCATTAAATTGTTAAGTCGAAGGATATTCATAGGACCTTTAAATTTTAAACGCTCATCTTTCCATTTTTGTCTAAAGAAAACATCTATGGTGTATTCCTAAAATATAAAATGACAATTCCTTTAAAAAACAGTAAATATTTTAGAATAAATAACACACTATAAAATTCAAAAAAGAGTGTATTATGAATAGTTCACAGAAAGCTATATTGAGAGAAATAAAGTCATCAGATTATTAGTCCTTTAGGTTATCAGGAAATGTTTCCTATTACAATGGGGAAGAGTATGTGCATTTGCATAATTAGCTACAGTCTTGCAAAAGAAGGGAACAAATTTACTTTGTCTTTCCCCTGTCAGTTGAACACTCTTAAAGTAACTGCATTACTTAGTGCATCATTTAAAGGTGCTGCCTGCTGGTGTGTGTGTGGGCAGGTCTGTATGAGTTGCTTTATGTTATTCCAAGAGTAACTGATCAGGAAGCTTTCTAGTAGCATAAGTAAGTAAGCAAAAAATAAATAAATATTAAGAAACACCTTTTACATGTCTTGTCAGATCTGCAGGAGCCATCACTCTCTGTTGACAGTGAAGTTGTTGAATATTGTTTTGTTTTTCTTCAATTCTTAACAAATGGTGATGCATCATAATGTTAGCCAAGTTAGTTAGTGAATGATGAACTCAAAAACAGTAAATGACGACTTCAAAACAGGTTGTTGAATCAGTTGGGAATTTTTCAAATAATAATCACGTGAAGCATGTTTTTACAGTCATATATACCAGCTCATGATTCTTATGCTATCAGTTTTCAATATTTCAGTTTAGCTGAACTCTGCTTCTCACTCATTTTCCCATTTCACTTTTTCCCTATGGCACATTTTCATTCTCTGTCTCTCTGTCTCTCTGTCTGTCTGTCTGTCTGTCTGTCTGTCTGTCTGTCTGTCTGTCTCTCTCTCTTTCTCTCTCTCTCTCTCTCTCGCTCTCACACACACACTTTAGATGAAATATACACTTATAATGGTGATTACTATTACTAATAATCTGTTGGATACCATTTTCTATTACTGTCTATATATTTGTACAAAAATACGTAAGTAATAGGAATGTTCTATTATACACCTCAAATTGGAAACTCAAAAACAATCTATTGTATGTAAAACCAAATCATCAAATCATCATATGCTTGAAAATAGGCATCTTAGTAGCAGCTACACTTAAATAATGTTTTATTATATTAAAAGATAAGTTTCATATTGCAAACATCTACCCTTTGAACAAGTATAAATCAACACAAATTTGCCTAATGATCCATCGAAATGTTGGGGAGATGATGATGAGTATCACTCACAGATTCCCAACAGCAACAGGAGATGAACAGTGGCTCTGGGCTATGATCCTAATATCCAGGGGAACATTCCATTGTACAATCTTACCAACACTCTCTATGACCTAGATAATCACTTTTTAATGTGGAATTTCATTTAAATGGAAATAGAAAAGCTAAATTAAAAGAATTGTGCTTTCCTTATAATAAGCATCCATGCAATATTCCTTTCCATTAGAATTACCTAAAATTCCCAATCATGTGACATTTATTTTTGAAGGGAAATTAAAGAAATTTAAAACTTTTGCATAAAGCTTCAAACTTAAGTTTTCAACTTCTGGAAAATTAAGGTAAGTTTTTTATGTTTCTGAAGTTTTATATCCTTATGTTGTGGTGATCATATTCTGGAGACCAACAACAAAGTATTCAAAGTTTACAAGCACAGAGTTAAAGGATAGCTTAAAAACAGTGTTTAAGAACACTTCTTGTCCTTAAGACCAGTGTGCCTATCAAATCTCTCCAACAAGAAGAGTATCTTTGTTTCCTACTGTCTTAGTTTGGGCTTCTATTGCTGTGAAGAGACACCATGACTGCTGCAACTCTTATAACTAAAAAAAGTTTAATTAAGACTGGCATATGTTTCAGAGGTTTAGTCCATTCCATCTTGGTGAGAATCATGGCAGCCTACAGATTGAAATGGTACTGTAGAAGGAGCTGAGAGTTCTACATCATGATTCTCCTCCAGGCAGCAGGAGACTATATGCCACATTGGGCATTGCTTGAGCACATAAGATCTAAAAGTCCACCCCCACAGTGACACTCTTCCTCCAACAAGGGCATACCTCCCAATAAAGCATATTGGCCAAGCATTCAATCTCAAATAACTGTATTCTTTGTAAAATCAAAATCAAAAAGAAGATCCACATATTTCCAACATAGAATGGCACAGGATATACATTAATATGGTGATATTTTATTTGTACTGAAATGTGATTTTATTTGTATGTTAATAAATAAAGCTGCTTGGAGGTCAGAGCTAATAGCAAGCCATAGCAAAAGCTGGGCGGTGGTGGCGCACACCTTTAATCCCAGCACTTGGGAAGCAGAGCTAGGCAGATCTCTCTGTGTTCAAGGGTACAGCCAGCATGGAGACACACACCTTTAATCTCAATACCAACCATAGAAGACCTGGAGGTCTGTACAGATGGGCAGTGATGAGGAGGTCATGTGGTTGGGGTTACAACCAATGAGAAGGCAGAACAGAAAGCCTATAAGAAGACAGACAGACAGGAAGTAGTTCTCTTGCTGAGGAGGACAGCAGCAGCAGTGAAGGGTAAGGTTTTTAGCTCTTAGCTCTGACCTCTTGGGCTTTCATCTTTGCATTGGCTCTGTGTTTCTTATTTAACAAGACAGTTACATCTACACATTAACATTCCAAAGCATAGGGGAAGTATAGCTAGAGTTTTCTCCAGTCCTGCCTGGCCCACAGTCAGGACAAATCTCTCTCACCCACCAGTCCTGCAGCTGCTCAGACCCAACCAAGTAAACACACAGAGACTTATATTGCTTACAAACTGTATGGCTGTGGCAGGCTTCTTGCTAACTGTTCTTATATCTTAAATCAACCCATTTATATTCATCTCTAAGTTGCCATGTGGCTCGTGGCTTACCAGTATCTTAACATCTTCTCATGGCGACAGCTGGCAGCGTCTCTCTGTTGCCAGAATTCTCTTCTCTCCTTGTCCTGCCTATACTTCTTGCCTAGCTACTGGCCAATCAGTGTTTTATTTATTAACCAATCAGAGCAACACATTTAACATACAGAACACCCCGCAGCAGGAAAGGAGCAAGTGAGGAAATACTGAACCAAAGAAAGACCGAAAACCAGCTGTGTAAACTCCAAACTCTGCATCTCCATCTCCATGTCAGATGTCAAAATCCTCTTCAGATCTCCACTCCTTTCAGCTCTGTTGACTACAACACACTTTTTTCCATGGGCTGGTTACACTTCTTGTTAGCTGCTTTCCTCAGCAGGTATCCACAACTCCAGCATCTCTAACATCTTGGGGTCTCTAAAGCAAAGCAGGCTTCATCTTCACAGCTTCACAGAATGGCTATTCTAGGCCTCCATGAAGGGACACCCCAGATACATTCCTGGCCTCAGTGGCTCTCCTTGGCCACAGAGGGAGATTCCACAACCCTTTTCTTGTATCCTTACTTCTAAAACCAGAAACACATGGCCAAAGCTGCTGAGTTCTGCTGCTTGCTGAGGTTAGAACATGGCCCCCTCATGCAATTACATCTTCACCATTTTTTTGTCTTTGGTGGCTTCCTTTTTACCTAAGCTTGACTGTCCTAGAACTCGTTGGCCTTGAATTTAGAGATTTGCCAAGCCTTTGCCTTTTGAGTGCTGGGATTAAAAGCCTGCAACAACATTCCCAGCTCTAAACTTTTCTTTAATTCCTTGTCAGAAGTTGGAAATTTATCTGGGTAGGATCTTGTCCTGAGGTCACCACACTCCTTTTTCCATTTTTAAAAAATCTGTTGAACACATGAATTAACTCCATTCCACTTCCAGGTGCTCCTTTTCTCCTCAAATTTTACATTTTATGTTTTTCCTTACTCGGCTTGCTCATTTTCTTTATAAACTTTCATTAGAGTAAACACTAACAGTGAGATGACAGAGGCAATACTAGGCTGTTTTGAGAATTTTGTTAGCCAATGCAATTAATCCAAAATGCTTCATCTTAGCCTCAGGCAGCTTCAGATAAGGGCAAAAATCAGGTACATTCTTTGCCAAAATAGCATAGGAAGAGTCTTTAGGCCACATATTAAAATTCTTCACCTCTGAAACCTCTTGAGCCAGGACCCTACAGTTTAAATCACCCTTAGCATTACAGTCATCCATGTTCTTACTAGTATGGCCAATTAAGCCTTGCTTAAAGCATTCTACTGCTTTTCTAATTCAATATTTCAAAATCCACATTTCTCCAAAAAGAAAGCACAGTCAGGCCTATCACAGCAATATCCCAGTCCCTGGAACCTAGTTCTGTCTTAGTTTGTGTTTCTATTTCTATGAAGAGACACCATGACCATTGAAACTCTTATAAAGGAAAACATTTAACTGGGGCTAGCCCACACTTTCAGAGATTTAATTCACCATGGTCATGGCAAGAAGCATGGCAGCATGCAGGCAGACATGGCAGTGGAGAAGGAGCTGAGAGTTCTGCATCTTGATCCACAAGCAGCAGAAGGAGACCGTGTGCCATTGGGCATAGCTTGAACACACAAAACCTCAAAGCCTTCTCCCACAGTGACTCACTTCTTCCATCAAGGCCCCCGAATAGTTCCACTCCCTATGGGACAAGCTTTCAAACACATTATTCTATGAGGGCCATTTATATTCAATACACTACACCTGCTCCCACCAGGCAAATTGATGACATTTTAGGCAATGTTAACAGCCCACATTCCCTGCCATTTCCCCAAAAGGACAAACTCAGCCTGAGCTTTATTTTTCTTTGATCACTTAGAACTGAAGCAGATCTCTTTGCTCCTGTACAAAGCATTGCAATATTGGAAGACAATTTCAATCACTAGCGTATGCTTGCTAGTTTGGCTTCCAAGAATCTTACAAGTTTTCCAGAATGGGATGGGGGCATTCATATGTCCTTTACATTATTTTGCTTCCAGACATAAAAATGTCTAAAAAGCATTACAAAAATGTTGAGTTGACTCAGTGAGAACGGATATTTGCTATCCAGGAAGATAATAACCAGTT